TAGGTGAAGGGATGAAGCAAAAGAAACCAAACACATAAAACAACTATTAGAGACAGACATAAGTATGGTGGTTACCAGAGGAAAGGGGTGATGGTACAGGTAGAAGAAGGTAAATGTGCGATAAATGGTGACTTAAGGAGATTAGACTTTGAGTGGTGAACATATAATAAAATATACACTGAGTGGCCAGATTATTAGTGTGTGTGTGTGTGTGTGTGTGTGTGTGTGTGTGTATATATATATATATATATATATATATATATATATATATATATATATATTTCAGTGCATGGATTCATGCATGGTTGGGATCCAGCCAGCCTGGCCAGGGGAGGGGGACATAGGCCTGCTGATCAAACTCCTGGTCGAGGGATAATTTGCATATTAGCCATTTATTATATAGGATATACACTGAGTGGCCAGATTATTATGTGTTCAGAGATCATAATAATCTGGCCACTCAGTGTATAAATAGAATTATACATCTGAAACCTACATAATTTTATTAACCAATATAACCCCAATAAATTCAATGAAAAATTAAAAATACACATGTTTTACATATATCCTTGCCAACACCAGGTACATTAATTTATACAAATTGGCTGCTTCAGTACACAAATTTTATATTTTAAAATTTAAAAATTTTTAAAATTATTATTTTTTTTTTCTTTTTTACTGATTTCAGAGAGGGAGAGGGAGAGAGAGATAGAAACATCAATGATGAGAGAGAATCCTTGATTGGCTGCCTCCTGCACAACCCACACTGGGGATCTAGCCCACATATGCCCTGACTGGGAATTGAACTGTGATCTCTTGGCTCATAGGTCAATGCTCAACCACTGAACCATGCTGGCTGGGCAATTTTGGGATATTTTTATTTGTATTTATTTCTAGTGAAATTGAACAAGTTTGTGCTCATTTTTAATATTAACTTTTACTAGTATTTTGTCAATTGTACCTTTGCACATTTTCTGTTGTGTTTATCTTTATTTACTGCTTTCCAAAATTTTTGTAAATTAAGGATGTTACATTTTTGTTTTTTAGATTTTCAAATTTCTCCAAGTTTTTCTTTTCATTTTGAAGAAAATATCATGTAGAATCAGTGTTCTTTTGTGTAAAAATTATAGCAATAATTTTTATATACAAAAATTTCAGTCAAAATAAAAATATGTTAGCATTTGTTAATTCTAAGTTGTAAATAGTTGGGTAGCCTTAATACTTTAATGTTTAAAACTTTTATAATAAAACAAAGGAAAACATGTATAAAGTATCTAATAGTTTGGACATATATAATATATTCAAGCATTCTTTTATCAATGGACATTCAGGTTGTTTTCTATTTAGAGCTTTTATAAACTCCACTATAGTAATTATCCACATACATCAAAATTTTTTCATATTTTGTTAAGTTTTGAAATGATTCTCCTACTCTTCATCCTATGTTGCCAAATACATTTCTATTATCAGAATAAGACTGTTGTTCCCACAAAATTAGTTTATTTTAACAAATTGCCCTGGGAAAAGCATTGATTAAAAGCAAATTTGCTTATCAAAGAAATCACCCTACCTAATAAAAGAGTAATATGCAAATTAATAATCACTCTGCTACACCCACCAGCCATGCCCACCAGCCAATCAGAGTGAGTATGCAAATAAACCCAACCAAGATGGCTACCAGGAGGTAGGTTTGGGTTTCCCTGGCAATGGAGGAAGCCTAGCTTTCCACACACCCTGGCAGGCACAGGCCTCCACTCAAGGCTACAAAGTTTCAATTATAGAAGGTAAACAAATCCAAACAGAAATGGTGGCAGCCACAGAGCGAGCAGGAGTCTTGGCTCTGTTCCAGGCTACAAAATTTCAATTGTAGCAGGTAAATAAATTCCAGATATCAGGGCCTCCACTTGGGTCGCCAGGGAGTGTGGCCACAGGCCCCTCGCCCAGGCCGCCCAATGCTCTAAGGGAATCCACACCCTGATCCAGGACACCCTTCAGGGCAAACCAGCCGACCCCCACCCATGCACCAGGCCTCTATCCTATCTCATAAAAGAGTAATATGCAGATTGACCATCACTCTAACACACAATATGACTGCTCCCATGTGAACAAAGATCCTGCCCCCATGTGTACACAAGATGGCCATCACAAGTTGGCCAGCAAGGGAGGACAGTTGGGAGGGACCAGGCCTGCTAGGGAGGGCAGTTGAGGGGGACCAGCCTGTAAGGGAGGGCAGTTGAGAGGGACCAGCCTACAAGAGAGGGCAGTTGGAGGCAATCAACCATGCAGGGGAGGGCAGTTAGGAGTGACCAGGCCAGCAAAGGAGGGAAGTTGGGGGCAAACAGGCTGGCAGGGGAGCAGTTAGACATCAATCAGTCTGGCATGGGAGTGGTTAGGGTGATCAGGCTGGCAGGCAGAAGTGGTTAGGGAAAATCAGGAAGGCAGGCAGGAGACCAGTTGGGAGCCAGCAGTCCTGGATTGTGAGCGAGATGTCCGACTGCCTGTTTAGGCCCAATCCCACCGGGATCGGGTCTAAAAGGGGAGTTGGACATCCCTTGAGAGGTCCCAGATTGGAGAGGGTGCAAGCTGGGCTGAGGGACACCCCCTCGCCCCCGTGCACGAATTTCGTGCACCCGGCCTCTAGTCTACACTAATAAAAGAGAAACATGCAAATTGACCATCACTCTGCTTCACCCACCAGCCAATCAGGAGTATGGAAATTAACCCAACAAAGATGGCAGTGGCTATGGAGCTGTAGCAAGCAGGAGACTTGGGTTGCCCCTGGTGATGGAGGAAGCCAAGCTTCCTGTCCTCTCTGGCCGGCCCTGACCTCTGTTTAAGGATACAAAGTTTCAATTATAGAAGATAAATAAATCCTAGATACCTGCTTCCAGCCCGCCCTGGCCTCTGCTCAAGGAGGTGCTGAAAAAAATAAATGAAAGAAAAAAAAGGAGGGGCTGGGAACTTGGGTCGCTGGGGTGTGTGGCCAGGCTGCAAACAGCCATCAGCCCCTCACCCAGGCTGGCCACACCCCCATGGCCCAATCCCTGTAAACATGTAGTAGAACATCCCTCGAGGGGTCCCAGATTGGAGAGGGTGCAGGCTGGGCTGAGGGACATTCCCCATCCCCCTGTGTATGAATTTCATACACCGGGCCTCTAGTATAAAATATATTTTATGATTTATTCAAGATGTTCTGAAAAGAAGTTACATGTTAATGTAAGTTTGGATAAACTTATTCCACTTTTGGGGATTGATAAGGTTACTTAGCATATTATACGTCCTGATAAGTACTGCATGAAAGACTATGTTCCATGATCTGCACATAATAAAATAAGTTTAGTCAAATAGTTTCAGAGAGCTACTACATCTTCTTCTTTGGAGAGTTACAAAACTCATTTGTATACTACAGGTTTTGAGAATCCTTATGGTAAAGGCAACTCTCTAATTTTGCTTATACAGGGTTTCCTAAATTTATTTCAATAGAGAACTTTATTCCTTTTTAACAACTGTTAACATGTCAAAGTGCTTCATAGACTATCCATAGTAAAATGTAAAAATAAGAAAATGTGAGAGGTTCACAGCATGGATAACTGAAATCCAAATGTTATTATACAAGTTGTCTCACTTAAACATCAAATACTTCATCAGGTTTTTGGAGAAAAAAAAACATTTAATTCTTCTTGCTTTTTAACCTTTGATTGTAAGTGAAGGTACACAGTAAATAAGCCAAGTCAGGTTTATAAATGTAGTGCCATAGTGGTAAGAGTATGCTCTAAGGTCAGATAGACCTGGGTTGCAATCTTAGTTTAGCCATTTACTAGTTGGACAGGTAACTTAATATCTCTGGACTTCAGTTTTCTCATAAGTAAAATGGGAATAATAATAACATTCATTTCACAGAGTTGCTGTGAGGATTAAATAAAATAACACACATTAAGTACATAGCAAAGTGGCTGACATATACAAGGTCTCTTACAGTATCCATGCTGGTCCACAGCAGGGTTTTATAAAGGAAAAAAAGTGAAGACTAAGAGTCCATAAACAGATCAATAGGCTTCTGAATAGCTTTTCCATGGGAATAAAATTGGAAGGCTTATCAGATCAGAGCTTTGAACTCCATGGTATTTCTATCACTAAAATTCTCCATTTAATGATGAATTGACTAGGTTATTTATCTGTGAATGTTGCAAAGAGAATGCTATTTAGCTTTTCACTAGACCAAAGAGAATCCCATGTGTAATATTGCCTGCCACTGTGAACAAATTAGTAGCATTTTGGGAGAATTGGAGTGTAGGGATAGTACTTTTTGCCTGTGAGTGGATAAGAGTAGGTTGTTAACTGAAATAATAGAGCCAAGCAAAAAGAACCTGTTCATAATCTATATAATCTTAGAGGCCTGAAATGTACCAAGGCGAGATTTATAATACAAAGGTTGAAAGCACATAACCTGAATAGAATGTTTGGCTGTTTCTGGATACCTTGAGTGGTCTTTTAGCCCAAGTGAGTTTGCAGGAAATAAGGGCAACTTTTTCAGTACATCATACAGGGAAATTATGTCTAGAACTTCTACTTATGTGAATAATACAAGAGTGGAGAATTTAACATCTTGTTAACCGGGGTGAAATCTTACTCATTTGCTAGTACCTCCCAAGATTGCCTCTTAGCAGTCCAAGTTGAACTGTATATACCTCCCTCAAATACTGACCTGTTACCCTGCTGGTATTTCTCAGTGGATAGAGCATTGGCCTATGCACTGAAGGGTCGTGGGTTTGATTCCCAGTCAAGGGAACCTAGCTGGGTTCCAGGTTTGGTCCCTGGCCACAGCCATGGTTCGGGCTCGTGTGGGAGGCAACCAATTGATGTGTCTCTCTAAAGCCAATGTTACTATCTCTCTCTCCCTCTCTTCTTCCCTTCCACATTCTCTAAAAATCAATAGAAAAAATATCCTCAGGAGAATTAACAGCAACAACAAAAATTTAAAAAGAGAAAAGCATACTCACCTGTCTTAGAGATGCAGGAAATGTGAAAATTGCTATGTTTCTGTTTCCACTGCAAGAGATGATGAACCTTCTGGATAATCTGTAAGGTTGAAAAGTGAAGGTGATCAAATGTCCCTTTCTCTTATACAGGTAGGTATTTATTCACTGGAATATTTACTTCTTTTTTCAATTCCTAAAAGCAGCATACATCTGCAAATCTCTAAAGATTTGTGTGCTATACTGAAGCATTTATAACCAGATCATACATTCAGATTCCAAGAGTAGTCAGCCTGGTGTACTATGAACTAAGATTATTTTATCAGGATTATCTACAATAATAAAAGGGTAATATGCTAATAATACCAGACATCCTTCCTGACTAAGCAAGGGTGAAGGGAAGCCAGCCTGGGTCCCAGGTGCCAGAAGGAAACTGGTGCCAGCAGCCAGGGGAAGGAAGACCTACTAATGCACAAATTTCACGCATTGGGCCTCTAGTATAATCTATAATAATGGCTGGTATTTGACTTAAATAGCTGTGATTTCATTTCCACATCATATGGCTTTAAATGGAATGTTTTGGGTTTTATTACTCACAAAAGACCCTGTCGTGCTGTTATTTTACTGGATATACTTGAGATAGTTATTATAGTATTTTAGGTGTCAGTGTTTCTAAAAAGGAATGAAATATCTAGAAAATAAGTGCCTTTGGAATCAATAACCAATATCATTTATAGTACAAACAAATGTTTTTGTTTCCAACCTCCAGTCTTTTGGGTATGCAAAGTGAACTCTGAAACAGCTTGCTTAATGTGCAGACAGTCATTTTCTTTATACTCCCTGCATACAAATAAACTTGGCACCTTAGATTTTAAAAAAGTTGACAGTTCTTGACCCTTACGGTTTCTGCTTAGCACATTCTACTTTATGAAGTTAGTGTGCCATTCAGAGTGCTCCAGTAAGTGTGAGGTCTGGATTTCAGAAGATCGAGGTTAACCAGGGTATGTTACACTCACCACAGTTAACCACGTAGATCTCAGACACAAGGCTTCTTTCTTCCAGGAAGAGTGAAAAAATTAAAAGTGGCTCTGAGAGAAACCATCAACAAAACAACAGAAACCATCAACAAAACAACAAGAAAGCCCACAGTGTGGGAGAACATATTTGCAAATGATACCACTGATAAAGGTTTAATCTCCAACATCTACAAACAGCTTATACAACTAAATAAAAGGCAGATAAATAATCCAATTAAAAAATGGGCAATGGACCTAAATAGAACATTTTCAAAAGAAGACAGAAGGAAGGCCAAAAGGCACATGAAAACATGCTCAAAGTCACTAATTGTCCGAGAGATGCAAATCAAAACAACAATGTGGTACCATCTCACACCTGTCAGAATGGCCAACATCAACAAATCAACAAATGACAAGTGTTGGCGAGGTTGTGGAGAAAAAGGAACCCTCCTTCACTGCTGGTGGGAATACAGACTGGTGCAGCCACTGTGGAGAACAGTGTGGAGTTTCCTCAAAAAACTGAAAATGGAACTCCCATTTGACCCAGTAATCCCACTTCTAGGAATATATCCCAAGAAACTAGAAACACCAATCAGAAAGGATATATGCACCCCTATGTTCATAGCAGCACAATCTACAATAGCCAGAATTTGGAAACAGCCTAGGTGCCCATCAGCAGATGATTGGATCCAAAAACTATGGTATATCTACACAATGGAATACTATGCTGCCATAAAAAAGAAGGAATTCTCATCATTTGCAGCAACCTGGATGGAATTGGAGAACATCATGCTGAGTGAAATAAGCCAATCAATGAAAGAGAAACACCACATGACCTCACTCATTTGTGGATAACAAAGAGCATTATAAACTGATGAACCAAAAGATAGATATAGAGACAGTATATCAACAAGTAGACTGTCAAATTACAGGGGGGAGGGGAGGAAGATCTGGGGGAGATAACAGATCAACCGAAGGACTTTTATACATGCATATATGTACAACCAATGGACACAAAACTCTGGGGAGGGAGGGGATGTGTGGGAGGGAGGGAGGGAGGGGGGTAAAAAAATTCAATAAAATATTTTTTAAAAAGTGGCTCTGAGAATGTCTTTTGTAATCAAAGCTTCATAATAAGTATAGCATTTTGTTTTGTCTGGAATCCCAGATTTAGTGTATTCTTGATCTGAACAAAAAGCAGCTATACTGGACCAGCTCTTCAGTGAAAGACAGAGAATAACTCATGTTTGTCAAATAACTGTAAATCTCTAGTCATTCAATAGATGTTAGCTGTACTCTTGGAATCAAACAATGATCTATATGAACCACATTTTGCTAAGAATGCAGAGAATAACGAAATAAAAGTGATAATCTCTCTGACCTCAAGTAATTGCTGTTCAGTTCCCATCCAAACTTTATGTTGGAACCAGTTACTTTTTCATCAGTTAGTTTGAGGTCCTGTTCATTATTCACGATTTTTCTTGTACCTTCTCCTTCTTCATTCCTTTCCACCAACCCACATCCTATATAATCTTTAAGACATAAACTTTACTTCCTCTGTCAATCCTTTCTTACCAGTTCAACCTACAGGAATCACTACCCTTTGAATTCATATAGCACAAACTTTATGGTTCTGCTCATTCAGTCAAACATTATATTCTGTATTGTGTTTTGTCAGGCAACTTTTCATGTATGTGTTTTATCTCCCTAAATCGATTTCACAAATGTTAGTCTCCCCCTCTCACCTCTATAACCAGCCAGACATGCTCCCCAAGTATGGTGCTGCCTCCTATACACTGACTGGCCAGATTATTATGATCTCTAAATGCATAGTAATCTGGCCACTCAGTATATATCCTATATAATAAAAGGATAATATGCAAATTGCCCCCTCGACCAGGAGTTCTACCAGCAGGCAGGCCAGCCAAGCGCACATGTCCCCTCCCACTGGCCAGGCTGGCCAGATACCACCCATGCACGAATTCATGCATCTGGCCTCTAATATCTTATCTAATAAAAGAGTAATATGCAAATTAACCATCACTCTGCTATACCCATAAGCCATGCCCACCAGCCAATCAGGAGCAAACTAACCCAACCAAGATGGCTATGGCCATAGAGAGAGCAGAGGGAAGCTTGGGTTTCCCCGGCGATGAGGGAAGCCAAGCTTTCCTCACACCCTGACCAGCCCAGGCCTCTGCTTAAGACTACAAAGTTTCAATTATACAAAATAAATCCCAACAAAAATGGTGGCAGCCACGGAGCTGGAGAGAGCAGGCTAAGATAGCCCCCCGTGATGTAGTAAGCCAGGCTTTCCACCTGCCCTGGCTGGCCTAGGCCTCCACTCCAGGCTACAAAGTTTTAATTATAGTAGGTAAATAAACCCCAACAGAAATGGCTGCACCACAGAGTGAGCAGAAGGCTTGGCTCTGCTCCAGGCTACAAAGTTTCAATTGAAGAAGATAAATATATCCCAGATACCAGGGACTGGGTCGCCAGGGGATGTGGCCGTACTGTAAACCCCCAAAGGCCCCTGGCTCAGGCCATCCCTTGCCCAAAGGGAACCCCCACCCTGATCCGGGAAACCCTCCAGGGCAAACCAGCTGGCTCCCACCCATGCACCAGGCCTCTATTCTATCTAATAAAAGAGTAATATGCAGATTGATCATCACTCCAACACACAAAATGGCTGCCCCCATGTGGTCAAAGATCCTGCCGTCATGTGGACACTAGATGGCCACCACAAGATGGACAGCAGGGGAGGGCAGTTGTGAGGGACCAGGCCTCCAAGGGAGGGCAGTTGGGGGCAATCAAGCCTTCAGGGGAGGGTAGTTAGGGGTGACCAGGCCGGCAGAGGAGTGAAGTTGGGGGCAAACAGGCTGGCAGTGGAGCAGTTAGACATCAATCAGGCTGGCAGGGGGGTGATCAGGCTGGCAGGCAGAAATGGTTAGAGGCAATCAGGAAAGCAGGCAGGCGAGCAGTTGGGAGCCAGCAATCCTGGATGGGTGAGAGGGACCCCAGATTGGAGAGGGTGCAGGCTGGGCTGAGGGACACCCTTCCTCCCCACACACATGCATGAATTTCATGCACCAGGCCTCTAATACACACACATACACACACACACACACACACACACACACACACACACACACACACTGAGTGGCCAGATTGTTATGCATTCAGAGATCATAATAATCTGGCCACTCAGTGTATGTAGGAATGAGAAAAAATAACCTTGTGGAAAAGAACCAATTCCTAATAATTCCAAATATCCTGTATAATAAAAGCCTAATATCCAAATTGACCAAATGACAGAATGACCAGTGGAAAGACTAGTTGCTATGATATGCACTGACCACCAGGGGACAGACACTCAATGCAGCAGCTGCCCCCAGCCCGCAATCCCAGGCCAACCAAGGCAGGTGCCAGCAAGGGGCAGGGCCCGCAGGCAAGTGGAAAGTGGCAGGGAGCAGGGCCGGCTGCTGAGCAGGCCAGCACTGCCCTCTGATTGCCCTGCTGGTTGCCTACCACAGAGGAAGGTGACTAGTGGTGGTGTGTGTGAAGGGGTGGGGCCAGTTAGAGGGGGCCAGCTGAGAGGGGTGCCAGCGGGAGCCCCCCAATTGCCCCGCTGATTGCTCCACAGATTGGCCCTGATCCAGGGACCCAACTCAAGCATGAATTTTGTGCACTGGGCTTCTAGTCTTAACTAATAATAGAGAAACATGTAAATTGACTATACCTCTGCCACACCCACAGCCAATCAGAGTGAATATGCAAATTAACCCAACAAATATGGTGGTTAATTTGCATACATGCCTGGGTCCCAGGAACCTCCTCGGAACACAGGTCATTCCCAGCTGGCCATCAAAGGGGTGGGGGGCCCCTTCCCAAGCCTAAAGCCTGGAGGGGTGGGGGTCCCCCTTCTCCAGCCTAAATTCTGGGATGGCGGCTTTAGGCTTGGGAAGGAGCCAAACCTGTGATCAGAGGGGTTGAGGAGTCCCCTTTCCAAGTCTAAAGCCTGGGACAGAGGCTTTAGGCTTGAGCAGGGGCCAAGCCTGGGATTGGAGGGAAGGGGAAAAAATCAATG